ATCAGAATCTATATACAAGTATATAGAGTAATTAATTTGTTTAAGGCTTTTGTGTACTCTCATTGAAAATCACTTAGCAATTTCACTATCTCTGTCAGTTAAGCATAATGCCATCTTTCATTTTACTTTTTCCATATTTTAAACATAAGTAAATAGAATTCCATATTAAGTCAGTATGGTATAAATAAGCCAATACCTTAAATATGGTTTCTTTGATTATTAGTAAAAAGTGATTCTGATTCTATTAATTAAAATAAAGCTTACAAGAGTTCTGGCTTCAAGAAAAGACTTATACAGAAGAATACATGGTATCAGTGGTATATAATCCATCTAATTTTCCCTTTACGTGGAACTTCCTCTCTCAAAGTTCCACATCAGGAATAATTGCAGAGACAACATAGCCTGGTTCTTTCTATTGGCATCATAGCTTTTCTCTTCCTGGGCCAAGCCTTATATTAGGAAAGGTATACATTGTATTTCTTGTGAATGATTCCTCTGGAGACAGCAAACAATCTTAATAGTATGCCCTAGATATATGGATCTCTATGGTTGCATGGTTTTCTGCCATCCATCCACCCTTCTACAAATAATGTTCCTTGTATTACCTCTTACTCATTTATTTCCATTCATTTGCTACTTAGTTCAAAAAAAAATCATAAACTGAAATCCTACTCTTTTGGTTGTTTAGAGTTGCTATAACCTGGATACCACAAGGAGATGGCTTTAACAAAAATTTCTTCTATACCACTTTGTTGCTGCCATGTAATCTCAAATTGAAACCAACTCACTGTGGATCCCCAAGCAGGTTCTGTAAATTCTATTGGGGCGGGGGGCAGGGTGGGGAGCAGCGAGATTTCTCATCATTCTGCCACAGAGCAGCTGGTGAATTGTAATTGCCTACTTTTGAGTTGGTAGTGTAGCTTCTTACCATCACTCCACTTTAGAGATTGGAAATACAAATGTACGGCTTGGCTAGAGAAGGTTCTCTCTGTGTTTCCTGATTCTAGGAGTTTCCCAGCAGGGCATACTAGACTCCGTTTGACCCCCTACCCTTGTATTGAGTTGGAATAGGAAACAGATACCTAGCTGCACTCACCAGGAGTTGCAGTGATGCCCATACCAGTGACCAGTGACTGAAGTGCATCCCCCCTTACACTCCATACCCTCCCAGTGATTAGAAATACAGCTCGCCTGCTCCTAGCCAATTGTATATTGTGATGCTCCACAATACGTCTTCCTCATGTCGGAATCTGCCTGGCCTACTTCCCATCACCTTTCCCCCTGCTTTCTCAGGAGCCTGTGATACACATCTACATGTGGAACACTGCATGGTCACCACCTCCTAATTTGGAAAGCTCTGCTCTCATGAGCTATACAATGCATGTCCAAGCTCCTGAGTTGGCAGGACACACACACTGCCACACGACAGCTCTCTCTGCGGTCGGTGGTGCACGCTGCACCGGGCTCTCTACAACTGCCATCTCTGGCAAAACCTATCCCTACAGATGCTTGCCACAAACACACCATTTCCACAGCTGGAGACAAATGTTTGTACTTGCTGCAATGTAACCCAACTTCCCCTCTTCCCTTGTTTGCTTTCTTTTTTCTATTTTGCAATGATCTCTCTTCCCTATTCTTTTTCTTATTTTTAAAATTTTAATTTCCCCCTCAGTCTTGTGGGAGGCAATGATGACTCCAAACCCCCAGCCACAGTCACCACACCTGCTGCTTCAGGCACACTCAGCCCACCTGTTGCCCCATCCACTGGGCAAGTTCATGCAGCCAGCCCAACAGGCTTGATAAGAGATGACAGGCAACACACATCCAGTTCCTCTTTAGCTGCTCCACACAACTAATGCAGAGACCAATTCCTACATTCCCATCTGCCCCCTAATCCACTCAGAAACAGTTGTTGACTGCTTTCTGGTGTCAAACTAACCACTAAAGTGGTATACCAGCACACCAACCAGGTAGAACAAATTACCTCACACTCCAGTGGGTTTTCTAGGAAGAATAGAAGGAAAATTAGTGCCTTTGAGCTGTGGTGTTGGAGAAGAGTATTGAATATACCATGGACTGCTAAGGAAACAAACAGGTTCATCCTGGAGAAAGTTAAACCAGGCTGCTCCTTGGAGGCCATGATTCTGACATACTTTGGACATGTTGCAAAGAGGGACCAGTTCTTGGGGAAGGATGTCATGCTTGGGAGGGTGGAGGGACAGCGCAGGAGAGGAAGACCCTCTATGAGGTGGATTGGTTCAGTGACTGGGGTAATCAGGATGGGTGTGTCAGAGGCAATGTGATTGGCACAGGACAGAGCAGGGTTTAGGGCTGTTGTACATATGATCACTATGAGTCGCAGACGACTCAACAGTACATAACAACAACAACAACAACCAGTGGGTTTTCAGGCAGTTAATTTCAGGGGATGAGATTACTCATACTTCTGTCATGGAGCAGCTAGTGGATTTGAACCACATGCCTTTGGGACTGCAGCACAGTTTCTTACCCTTAGGCAACTAGAATGGTAAGGAATTGTACTGCCAACCCAAAGGTATATAATTCTCTCTGGTTTATCATTCAAAATGTTTTTCCTAGCCAATGATTCTCATTGTTAGGTGCTGTTGAGTTGAGTATGACTCACAGCAATCCTATGAATGAAAGCTCTGATCCCTGTTCTATCCTGCACCATCCTCAGAATTCCTGACACACAAAAGCCCATTGCAGCAGTCATAGCGTCAGTCCACCTCGTTGACAGACTTCCTCTCCTTCACTGACCCCGCATGTCCTTCTCCAAGGAATAGCCTCTCCTAGCAACATGCTCAATGTATGTGAGGCAAAGCCTCATCATTCTTGCCTCCAAAGAGCACTCTGACTGCACACTCTCCAAGACATATATCTGTTCATTCTCTTGGCTGTCCATGGGGTGTTCAGTGCTATTCTCCAACACCACAGCTCAAAGGTGTCAATTCTTTTTCTGTTACCCTTATTCATAAAGAAAGATCATGGCCTGAATCAGACACGCCTTAGTTCTCAAACTGATATCATTATTCCTCAATAATTTGGAGAGGACCCTAACTGCAGATTTTCCAAGTACAGTGCATCTCTTTATTTCCTGACTGCTGGAACCAAGGTATTAATTGTGGATCCAAGGAAGATGAAGCTGATGATAGTTTCAATGTCCTCTCCATCCATCACAGTGTTGCCTATTGGTCCAGTGGTAAAAATCTTCATTTTCTTGATACTGAAATGCAATCCGTACTGAATGCTATATTCCTTAATCTTCTGTAGGCAGTGCTTCAAGTCCTCCTCACTTTCAGCAAACAAGCTTGTGCCATCTGCATAATACAGGCAATTGATGAGTCTCCCTCCAAACCTGATGCCACATTCCTCTTCAGAGGGTCCAGCTTCTCGGATAATTTGCTCAGCATACAGATTGAATAGGTA